AAAGAAAAAAAACCAAGTTATACAAAAAAAAAAAAACCTAATCATTTTAAATAGTGTGTATGCACGTTGTTGATTATATGTTTCTTCACCATGTGAATGTACTTCGGAGGAAGCCATGCGACAGCATTCTGGCTGGGCTCCAGAATGTTAGTTAGCACTTAGCGCTAATAAATATTTGTTTAGCAGATACCAGCTGTTTCTCTTCTTACTCTATTTGAGTCTTGTCTAGGAGTTTCCCAAGAATACGGAGCCTATGCAAAACTTGGTTTGAGAAACCAGGAAAACTGTGGTACTTTATGAACTGAGAATTCTATTTTTGGAAACTTAATTCAGATTGTGTTGAGCTTATGGAAATCAACTGGATAAAGCATAAATATAGAGAAAAATTAAAATGTCCTGAGAAAAGGAAAAGTGCTTCAGTCCTTAGAGGTATTACCCTGCAGCTGTGAAAGGCTAAATTCATTCTTGTCTGAGTCTTCTTACCACAGAACTGTGTGAACCCAACACCCACACAGCAACAAAGGTGTCAGGTCCCCTGAAACGACTTACAAAAACATTGTGATCCATCTAACATGGGTGCTTGTAGTTAGTTGTTATACTCTTTGGGCTCCTTTGGGGGCCCACCACCCAGGTCCCAAATAAACACACAGGGATACTTATTATTACTTTTAAATGCCTGGCCTTAGCTTGTTTCTTGTCAGCTTTGCTTAAATTATGTCTACTATTTGCCTTACCTTTCTCTATTTTTCTACATCTTTTCTTTTCTTCTGAATTTATGTCTAGCTGTATAAGTGGGTGGGTAGCCCTTTTTCTTGCTCCTTCCTCTCTTCCCAAGGTTCTCCTATTTATTCTCTCTGCCTGCCAGCCCTGTGAAGTGTGATCCTAATTACTCTTCTCAATAAAAGCCCATAGTCAGATATTGGGATAAAAACTGAAAAATCAGAGAAGCAGAGCAGCAGCCACCAGAGACTTCTTGCCTCTCTGAATTCTCTGGTCAAAAGGGCTGAGATCCTGTCTCCAACCCCTAATCACCTCCGCTCTCCCCACTCTGCCTTATTACTCCTGTCTCCTATCTGTACAGACCTCCAGACCTCTATGGTTATTTGTTAACTAGTGGCTAACTCCACCCTCTAATTTCCAGGCAAGATTTATTTGTCAGAACACAAAATATCAAGCATTTACCCTTTTGTCTAAATAAAAAGCAAAGGTTAAAATTAACATAAAGAGCTATATATAAGGCCAACAACTATACACAATATAGAGCATCAAGAAGTATATTAACAATGTCCAGTCCATTTGCATTTGACAAATTGAGAGGAAATACTCCATTACTTATTAATCCAATCTTGATGAGTCCAAAGGGTTGTGACTAATTCACCTCTCATCCTAATTTGTATTACCTACCCAAAGCTATCTTCTTATATCTCTAAACTTTATACATCTTACATTCCTTTGTGAGATTCTAGTCTTCAACTCCATCAGAGACCCTCAAAGGAAATATTACCTGAGTAAACAGGAAGTGCAAGCAAGCAACTTCTAAAACCTGTGAGTAATGACAGAAACAGCAGGCTGACTGGACAGTCACACAAGGTTCCTCTATAATGTTGGAGCATTTATCTTCGGCCTATAAGCCTACATATCTGACATACTCTTCTGTGGAGGATAATTCTGAAGGGCTGTTCTACTTTGTCTTCGCAAAGTTGAATAGTTGATTTCTTTTGTGTCCTGCCTGTCCAATTTGGGCGTAACTGTCAGCAGATGACACAAGAGCAGTTTCTTCACCAGTGGCTAACTTCTACCACAAAGAAAGTAAACTCCATATGGAATAACCTCAATGCTCATCTTTTCTGACATTGGTGCTGCGAGGCTATGTTATTAAAACATCATAAATACCATATTCTGCAGATCTCTGAGGTGTTTGAAGACCACCTAACTAAAATATAATTGGTTGATCTTGAAAACAACCTAAGATGAATACAAGTTCCATTGGAATAGGTGACTATTTACCTGCATTACTTTATTATCATAGTATGTAATAGTAACTTTAAAAGACTAGAATTTTGTATTGCATTGTTAAATGAACAGTATAGGTACAATATCTTAAACCAGAGTGATATGAATAGTATGTTCTAACAAAAGTAACCTCAAGTTTGTTATCAATATACAAAAATATAATAAAATGTAAAAAACTTATGACTAGTAGTTTTTTTGGTTTAAAAGTACATTAAACTCTCTATTATCCTATTACAGCTATACCCCCCTTTTTCAGAGTAGATTCAGTAATGTACCCTTTATCCTCATATTTCTATATCCTCCCTTTTTCTTTTTAGAACAAAAACCCTAAATCTAACCTCCTTTGTTCAGTTTTTTTCCTGACCATTTTACCACAATGTGTAAGCATATCCCTTAAACAATTACAAATATCCATAGCCCACTGACCAAAAACCATCTTCCCACTACTTGAAAATGTGGGTTTCATGTTCTCAAAATTACTTCCTGTTGTCTGGCATCTTTAGAGGAAGCTGAAAAATAACATCGAAATAATTACCAAGTCCTGGAAGAGGTAGCTGAATCATTTGTGGTTCAATCTCTGCATAATGGAAACATGTAGGGCTTATCTCAAGTCCTAGCTAGGGTAGTCTGTGAGGCTGGGTTATCTCAGCTAGCCATGTTGAAGCTGTCTTGAGGCATTTGTAATACAAACTCAATCTTTGGATGGTATCTGTCAGTTTGGCGGCATTACCACAATCCAGGTGGAATTGTTTTGGGGCCCCATCTTCCTTTTAGAGACTCCAAAGGACATGCGTAGACATGGTCATATTTCACTATAGAAAACATGGTTCACTATAGAACACATTTTAAATATAACAGGCAGAAAATGTCAAAGTGGTTAAAGGACCAAAATTTGTTAGGTACATCCAGAGTACAAAAACTTAAGGACCATAACTTCTAGCAAATCTGTGACTATAGAATCATCCTTTTCAGAACTCAATGCAGTGGCCCACTGAAATCCTGAATATGTACCTATGATATGGTGGACACATTTTAACATTCCAAATTCTGCAAAATGAAACACAGCCACCAGCCAAAGATCATTGAATACTCTTTGGATTACTTCCTACAGGTACTGGATTTTGGCTGTATAAAGAACAAGTAGTGCATTGCCTTATACTTTCCTTGTATTGTTGCCTAGTGATAGAAAAATCTTTTATCAACCTCTTGCTAATGACATGCTGTTTTTTTGTTGTTGTTTTTGTTTTTGTGAAACTCTGAGGGTGCTAGCACATTCAACCAAGTAAATCAATTTCATCACTATCTTGTACTAGAGAGCCTGGCAGACCCATATGGAACCTAATATGTGTTATATAGATGGGTGATTTCTATTTCTGATTATTTCTCATAACAGAATAAAGTCAATTTTGTATCATCAAAACTTACTTTTTATATTTATGGTTGTGAGCCTAGCCTTTAACGGCTGAGCCATCTCTCCAGCCCCAAAACTTACTTTTTAATTGGACAAAAGGGAGAAAAGTTGTGGAATTATCTTGCACACTGTAAAGATTTGTTACACAAACTGGTTTAATGAAAGGCTGACTGGACAGTAACCAGGCAGAAAGTATAGTTGGGCCAAACAAACTAAGAATGATAAGGGATGATAAGGAATAGCAGGTTCAGGAGACTCAGGTCAAACCAGAGAGAGAAAGATGGGTGTGCCCTATTAAGAACAGGGATCACCACATGCCAATGCATATTTAAGGAATATCAGTTAACTTAAACTGGAAGAGTTAGTTAATAATAAGCCTGAGATACTAGTCGAGCATTTTTAAGTAATATTAAGCCTCTGCAATATAATTTGGGAAGCAGCTTCTGGGTTCAGATATTAGGGACCAATTGGCTGTGATAAATGAAACTTCTACATATAATCAAACTTTTGCTATTTCCTGCATACATTCGGAGGAAGTTCTTTGATCCTCTCCAGGAGCTGGTTGAGATGTTGGCAAACACTTGATGAATCTCTATTCTGTGTTGTTTCCCAGCAACCACTGGCATTCATGTTGGATATAAACACTACTTTTCATTAACAAAACAGAGCAGTATTTGACAGGCCTTCATCTCTGCATAGGTTCTCAGAAGGATGGGAACCATTCCTATACTCTTCCCTCCTATAGAAACTATCACTGCTATGGACTTTTTGATGCATCAGAAGACCTGAATTCCTGCTGAATCCCTTACCACATGTGTCACACTTATAGTGTTTCCTTCCCGTATGGACAAGCTGATGAGATTGAAGATTTGACTTCTGGGTGAAACCTTTCCCACACAACTCACATTTAAATGGCTTCTCCCCAGTGTGGATTCTGTGATGTATCTGGAGATTGTAATACCTATTGTAGGCTTTTCCACACTCAACACACTGGTAAGGCTTCTCTCCCATGTGGACTCTCTCATGGACCAGGAGACTGGAGGCGATACTAAAGCCTTTGCCGCACTTTTCACATTTATAGGGTTTTTCTCCTGTGTGAACCCGCTCATGAATTTGAAGATTACAGTTCCATCTGAAGCCTTTGCCACATTTTCCACATTTATAAGGTTTTTCTCCTGTGTGAACCCGCTGATGAATTTGAAGATTACAGTTCCATCTGAAGCCTTTTCCACACTCCTCACACTTATACGGTTTGTCTCCAGTATGAATTCTCCGGTGACTTTGAAGGTTTGAACTCCGATTGAAGCCCTTCCCACACTGCTCACACTTGTATGGTTTCTCCCCAGTGTGAAGTTTCTGGTGGTCTTGTAGGTAGGAATTTCGACTAAAGCTCTTCCCACACTCCTCACATTTGTATGGTTTCTCCCCAGTATGACTTCTCTGATGGCCTTGCAGGTAGAAACTCCGACTAAAGGCCTTGCCACACACCTCACACTTGTATGGTTTCTCTCCAGTGTGAACTCTCCGGTGGGAGTGTAGGTAGGCACTCTGGCTGAAGCACTTCCCACACTCCTTACATTGATATGGTTTCTCTCCTGTGTGGACTCTCTGGTGAATGGTAAGAACCCATCTGTCACTGAAGCCTTTCCCACAGGTGTTGCATTTGTGTGGCTTAGGTTTCTGCTGATCTTGGGGGCTGGAACTCCAGTTAGACCCATTCCCACTCTCTTTATAAGTAGGTTTCTCAATGACGTCAAGTTGATGGCTTGGAATACACAATTTTTGATCGAAGCTTGTACTGCATGCATATTTATGTGGTTTTTCCCTGGGGTACACTGCTGAAAAGTCCTGGAAATGTGGGGGCAGATTAAAGTGGTCACCACACTCAGAGTTATACACAGTCTCTTCCATGTGAACTTTGTGCTCAGTGTTAAAATTTGAGCAATGTGTGAAATCTTTTCTACACTCCACACCTGGATATAGTTTCTCTTCAGAGTGGATTTCCTGAGTAGCTTGAAGATATAAACTCTGACTAGAAACATTCCTAGGCATTTGCTGGCCTTTCCATTGGCAACTACATGACCCACTGAGATGTGATTCCTGCCAAGACTGCTGGGCTCTCAGTGAAGGAAACTCTTGACTTCTCAGAGAGGCAGAGTCATCATCTACAGGAGGCAACACGTAGTTCCCATCCTCAGAAATCTGAACCAGCCGCCCTGCGCACACCAGGAAGGAAGAATCTCCCTGGTTCTGAGACTCAGTGTTGCTCTTTAGACATCTTTTCATGGAATCCTGATCCCTGGGTAACAAGCCTGCACCCTGTGGCCAGGTCTGACAGGAGGAGAGCTCTCTGGGACAAAGGGAGCTTAACTCCATGTCTTCATCATTCTCCACAGCACGTCCACCCTGGCTTCCTATAGGATGAGAATCCAGACAAACACACAAGTGAACATCTTACTGAGAGATGCTGGTGTGTAACACGTGGCTCACATCAGGAGACAGACAGGCCACACTGCTTCTGTGGAGACTGACAAAACACCTGACGCACACAGGAGACACAAAACCAAGGCTCTGTGGGGGCCTCAGATGTGGGTTTTCTGCAGGGCAGTAGTAGAGCAACCTTTAATCCCAGCAGTATGGTGGCAGAGGTAGGCAGATTTCTGTGAGTTCAAGGCGAGCCTGCTTTACAGACTGAGTTCCAGGACACCCAGAGCTACATAGAGAAAAACCCTGTCTCCAAAAACCAAACCAAAAAAAATAAGTAAATAAATATAATAAAATAAAATAAAACAATACCAAAAAAAAAAAAAACAAGAACAACAAAAATATCTGGGTTTTCCTAACAAAATCTGGGTATAAAATGTGGTCGCATTCAAAAGTTCTAGAGAACTATAAGCACAACACTGTGCTTCATCATGGGTTGTTAGGTGATTCAGTAGAAAAAACAAAAGCGGATATTCCCAATGTGGAAAAATGTTTTTGTCTTTATAAGCATGAATATGAGTATAAGTGAGTGGGGCCTCTCTTTCTGTATGTGTGTATATGTGTTCGCTCCACCCATGGTATGACTGTGGAGGTCAGAGAACAACCTGAGGGAGTCAGCTTACTCCCCCAGAAAACACAAAGGGTCTAGGGAAGGAACTCTGCTTGGGGCAAGCAGCCTTACCCAAGGAGCCTTCTCAGCAGCCCTGCTCTAAGCACTTTAAAAGCCATTATACTATTTGTGAAGTGGGGACCAGTGGAGAGTTAAGAAGAGAAATGCTATGCCCTGCCCCTGTTAGGGAAAGCACTCCCGCCCACTGGTCCAGCAGCATCTTTCCCACCTGAGATCTCACCTCCTTGGGCCTCCACCATGCAGAGCTCCTCTTCATTCTCCAGCTGGGCTATCAGGCCTAGTGTGAACGGCTGGTGTGCTAGTGGTAGGAAAAAAGGAAAGAAAAGAAAAAAAAAAAAAAAGAAAGAAAATCAAAAGTTTGATGATGTCTTTTGCAAATAGTAGATAAAAAGAGTAGGAAGTAGAGAAAGCAGAGCAGTTTCAAGGCCACCCTTAGCTATATAGTAAGTTTGAGAAGAGCCTGGCCTGGGTTATATGAGACACTGAGTCAAAGAAATAAAAAACAAAGAAAGGGAGGAATGGAGGGAGGGAGGAAGGGACAAAAAGAACTCTCAAGCTGGAAAGATGGCTCAGAGGTTAAAAGCACTGGCTACTCTGCTAGAGAGCCAAAGATTAGTTCCCGGCACCAACACAGCAGCTTGCAACCACCTCTTAAATCCAGTAGTGGGAAATTTGAAGCCCTCTCTGGCCTCTGTAGGCACCTGTCCTCAACATGGTGTGTGTGTGTGCGCACGCACACAATCTCACACACACACCCACACACTGAATATATTTTAAACATACCTCCCAGTGAAATGGACTAATAAATAGGAACTACCACACAGCCTATAAAACAAAACTAGCTAGAAGCACATTGTAAATGGTTTTATATGTAAACCAATGCAAGGGGCCTCTGTCCCCACTGTCCTACTCTACTTCCTGTACACACTATGACAAAAGGTCCTGGGGGAGAAAGGTTTTATTTCGTCTTATACCTTGAAGCTCTTCATGGTGGGAAGTCATGCCTGACTCATGGCAGGGGCTGGAGACAGGAGCTGGAGCAGAGACCATGGAGGGTGCTACTTACTGGCTTGCTCCTTACAAAGCTCAGAGGCACCTGGCAGAGCAAGCACCACCCACAGTGGGCTGGGCCACAATCTTAGCAATAATCAATCAAGAAAATCCCACACAGACTTGGCCACACGCCAACCTGGCAGAAGCATTTTCTCAAGTGAGGCTCCTCTTCCCAGACGACTCTAGCTTGTGTCAAGTTAATAAAACCAAGCAGGCTCCCATATAGAGCTCAAAAGACAGATGGACGGAGCCATGAGAAACCTGTGCTTCCAGTTAGACAACCAAGCCCAGACAACAACTCCAGCAGTTCCCAGGCTCCCAGTACTGGTCCCAGTCGCTCATCCGGGAAACCCAGACCCCATCCTCACCCACTGAGAGCAGCATCCTGAAGGTCTCCAGCATCACATCACGGTACAGCTTCCTCTGGGCAGCGTCCAGCAGCCCCAGCTCCTCCTCGCTGAAGATCACAGCCACGTCCCTGAACGTCACCATCTCCTGGGACAGCAAAACTTGCGGGTTATAACTACAGAAGCGGTGAGGCTGAGATGTGGAGGGAGGACTTTGTGGGACTCAGAGCCTCTTAGCTGGAAGTACCTGTCTCTGCCTGCCTTCCATCTGCTGAGCCCACCCGCCATGAGGGCTGCAAAGAAATCATCCTATCTGTGTGTGCTTGTGTACATATTTTGGATGCAGGCTCATGTGCACGCACAAATGTGTAGTCTATGAGTATGTATGTGCATTTTGCCCACACCTGTGCATGTGGCACAGCATGTATCTGGAGAACTTTCAGGAGTTGGCCCGGTCCTTCAACCTTGCAGAAACACAGAGCAGGGCCGTCTCTCTTGCTGTTTCTGCAGTACTGTGTATTCCAGGCTATCTGGTCTGCCAGCCTCCAGGTGGGTCCCCCGTGTCCTCCATAGCAGGATTATAGTTGGGCACCACCACATCTGGTGTTTTACACAGATTCCAAGGATTGAACTCAGGTCCTTGCGATTGTGAGGCAAGTGTTCATATCTGCTGAGCCATATCCGCAACTCCCTCCACATTGCTTCATAAGACAGTATATTCTCACTGACTTGAAGCTCACTAATTAAGTCAATTTAGTAAAAATATTCTTTTGTCACATAATAAATATTTTTTAAATGTTATTTTTTATTTATCTGTGTCTGTGTGTGTGTCATGGAGCTCATGCATGCCATGGTGCATATGTGGAGGTCAGATAAAAACTTTGGGGAGTCAGTTCTTTCCTAATTTGTGGTTCCCACAGATCTAACTCAGTCATCAGCCTTCGCAGCAAGCTCCCTTACCACTGAGCCATCTCACTGTCCCTCATTCACTCTCACTATTTCCTCTTCTAGAACGTCACTGTACACACAGGATTGTTTTCACTTCCGTTTACATTGCAAACATTTTGCGTTATTGCTTTGTTATCTGGCTTTCTAGAGAATTCTTAGATGTTTATACTGCAGACCTGTTCAAGCCTGTACCTGCTCCACAGGACTTTCTGAGCAGCTTGCCCTTGGCTACAGATGGAGAGCTCTGCCCTGCCCTCCTCTCCCCTGCCCTCCTCTGCCCTGCTTTCTTCTGCCCTGCCTACTCTGTCCTGCTCTGCAATGTACTCTGATTTTTCACTCTGACTTTACACTAAACAAGGCTGACTATCCTGACCTAGAAGGCAAAGGCCCCAGCACACACAACATCCTGAATGAACATGGCTCCCCCATCCTCAAGGAACAGCATGACTATTCCTGGCTCCTTCAGGCCTGTGAATGAGGTGATGGTTGGACAATGACTACGGCCTACAGTGTGGAGGACTTTCATGTTCAATATATTCAAGGCTAAATAGTGAAATCTTTCTGTCTCTCTCTCTCTTCCCATTCAACCCTTCCCAGAGTATCAGAGACCCTGATGAAAGAGCTTAGAGGTGCTGTGGTTAAGAGCAATGACTGCTCTTGCAGAGAAGAGAACCCAGGTTTGGTTCCCAGCACCCAAATGGCAGCTCACAAACCATCTGTAACTCCAGTTCAAGGAGAAGTGACGCCTTCTTTCTCTTCCATTGGGAAAGACATGCCTCACAGCTGTACATACAGGAAAATCACTCATAGGCAAAATAAAAATATATAAATCTTAAAATAAATTTGAAAAACAAAAGAAAAACACAATAAAGTTTCTCAGCTGTCCCCTACGGGAAAGGTATACAGATGCACTGATGTGTATGCTATGTGCACGTGCGTATGTGTGCGTGTATATATGTATATACTAGAAATCTCAGGAGTGACAGGTCTCTCAGACCGCGGCTCATGTTGCATTTCATCAATGTGTGGTACCAGGGACAAATGTCGACATTTGCCCAATGCCAGGTGTGTGTCGCTCCCTGGGCCACACGGCCAGCCTCAGAGCAGTCTTGTGAGCCAAGGCTCTCCACAGGGAAAAGGACACAGAGACATCAAACTGTGGGAGCCTCCGGGATTTCCGAGTTTGTGGGTGGCGAACAACTCAATGCAATCCACTCAAGAGTTGGAACGCACACCACTGCTAGTGGAAAACATGCCAGTTCCACACTACAGCACAGCAAACAGAGCTAGGGGTGTGGCTTTAAATGGCCATGGGGACATTGTAAGCAAGATAATGATGTGACTAATTTTTAAATTTCTATTCCCTTTTATACTGTTCATAGACTTGTGTGTTCTAGTGCTTGGCCCACAGGGAGTAGAATTATTAGCGGTGTGGCTCTGTTGAAGAAGGCGTTGGAGGAAGTGTATCACTGTGGAGGCAAGTTCTGAGGTCTCAAGTTAAGGCCAGTATGGCACACAGTCCCCTGTTACCTGTGGATCAAGATGTAGAACTCTCATCTCCTTCTGCAGAACCACAGCTGCCTGGATGCTACCACCATAATAACAAAGGACTAACATCTGAACTGTAAGCCATCACAAATTGAATGCTTTTCTTTATAAAAGCAGGGGTCATGGTACCTCTCAGAGCAACAGAAACTCTAAGACAGAGCATGTACAGCACAGCTGAAAATCACCTCACCTGCAACTGGGCCATTTTCTCCTCCTTTCTTCCAGGAAATGGTGCAGACCTGAGAAGACAGGACAGGATGACAGACGCCATGAGAGGGAAAATACAAGCTTGGCCAGGTGAGATCCAGGTGCCCCTTGCCTCCAGAGGCAGGCACACACATGCTGCAAATCAAGTCACATTCCAGCTACCCCCAGGATGTCCCACCCTAGGCTACAGGCAGGGACGGCCTTCCCAGGTGTTCTTACTTCATACCGGGCATCCCCCAGATGTTCACTCCCATCCTGGGAATCGTGGCCAAAAAGGGTTTTGGCTCCAAGCAAGCAGCATCAAGGACAAATTTCCTGTGTTCAGAGGTTGGTGCTGGGCTGTGATGGTTCAGCAGAAAGAGTGCTTGCTGCCAAGCCTGATGACCTGAGATTACTTCTCAGGACCCACATGGAGGGAAAGAACTGGCTCCCACAGGCGGTCCTCTGACATGAGCTTCTGTCATTACACACTCGCTAATAACTGTAAGTCATTCTTTCAAAGGTGTGTGGTGCTAACGTGTGTGCTCATGGAGTAACCAGAGCTATGTTCATTAACCTTCTACATTTCAAATCTGCCATCTGCAACAGGGTTGTTATCATTCAGTGATAAGGGCTGCTGAGATTGTGTGCACCAGCAGTGGATAGCTTCTGTAAGAAATTAAACCTCTCTGTCCCCATGAGTGTCTATAAGATTCATCACAGAACTGACCTTGCACTCTAACCCCAGTGAGAGAATTGAGCATGCCTAGGTGGTAGAGCCCCTGCCTAGAATCCCCCAGTGAGGGGCTGGGGTGTGGCTCGGTGGTAGAGCCCCTGCCTAGAGTCCCCCAGTAAGGGGCTGGGGTGTGGCTCAGTGGTAGAGCCTCTGCCTAGAATCCCCCAATGAGGGGCAGCATTATAAGCATGTTGTTTAGCAAAGTCTTCTAAGATAGACTTCCCATCCTGCAGGGAACCTCCTTAGATGGCGAGTGTAGTAAGGGGAGACAAAACATTACATGATACTGGGAAACTCAATAAAATTCAGGAAGTGAACAACTCCAAAGCTTCACGAAGTCTCAGACACTGACCAGGTTCACTAGACCTTGCCCTTCCCAGACATTTATAAGCAGTAAGGAATATTTAGTGACAACTCAGCAAGCTGAGCTGCCTAGAATATGCTCACACCCGCAAAAGTCCCAAAGGCAGAGACCGGCTGAGCTGACAGACATTCAGAACAACGGAAGCACCTGGCTGACCTGCCTGCAGACTGCAGTGTGCTCCAGGTTTCCAGCTTTGTGAGCTGTCACCATGCTGGAGGGGGCTTTGGTGATGCAGCTGCCTTTTGAGTCATTTCTGCTTCTATAAGTAACCCCTCAGCCATACTCCTGTTAGTAACCCCAATAATTGTGTGACAATACTCATGGGGAGACATGACCAAATAAACGTCTACTCGTTCCAGATAGAGAACCAATGATTGCCGAAAAAGTCCAACATGGTGACCCAATGAGTTTTATTGGGGTTGTGCATAACAAACACCTACCTAGCGTTAGCTATTGATGAGACTATTCTTGCTGGCACTGATGTTAACAGCCCACATGACAACCTTCATCTCACTCTGAACGGTGCCTGTATTTAGGGTAGTAATCACGAATTCATACACATCACCCTTTGCACATTCTAAAATGGCTTTAACATCTTTGGAATGGACATTCTTTAACATCCCATCAAATAGCAACAGAAAAACCCAGGCATTAAGGATATGGTAAGAGGGGTGAGGTGTGGTCAGGCTGGGGCCAAGGACCCTACAGCAGGAGCTCTGAGACCATCTGTGGGTCACTGGGGCTTCCAGGGACTGGGGCGCTTCCTCGAAATCTGGAAAGCACTAAGAGCAAAATAATAACTAAGAGCTGGTGCCGGGCGCCCGCTGTCTTGAGCCTTGCAGCAAACACGAGCTCGTTCTTCGAATGGTACCAATGTTGGGGAAGAAACGGGGCATAGACGTAGACGACTGTGCATTTCCGACAGTGGCTAGAGAGACGGCTGGGGGCTCCCGGCTCCCATGACACCCTCCATCCCGGTGACTGACAGCCCCGGCCAGATCTGAGTCAATGTGCGCAAGCGCGGCACGCTCCGGCGGGCTCATTCACAGCAAACTCGCCTCCTGCCCTACTGAGACGGATTTCCTTCCCAGCATCCACGCCTGCTGCCTATCGCCTCGGACAACCTGAAAACTATCGGGAAGATGCGGGAGGGGACAGCAGAGGGAGGGCTCACCTTTCTGAGAGGAACGCGGGCCACGGCCTCGCACACCTGGGCCGGAAGTGATTCTTCCCGCGCAGGATACCGGGAGCACACGTCCCAGAATTCCTAGGGGACCAGGACAACACAGGCTCATGCAGAGGAAGTTAGAGTTGAACCTAGGATTTCCGGACTACATTTCCCAAAATTCCGCACAGAGTGTGCCGGCCCTCTAAACTCTTGCTATGGAAAGTATCCTAGTCTAATGAGGATGGGACTGTTACGGACTACATTTCCCAAAATTCCTCACACAGTAGGCTGGCCCTTTAAACCGCAGGCAGCGGAATATTAACTAGAGTCCTGCGGTTTGGAGTCTCACGGACTACATTTCCCATAATTCTTAGGGATCCTCCTTGCCTTTCCAGAGCAGAAGTGTACCATAACTAGATTATCTCATAGCTTCTGGTTCTTAGCTTTCCTGAAGGTGCAAATCTTCTAACCACGAAGCTTTCCCACCTTTCTCTGGAAGACTGTGTGTTAAACGATGACTTTCTAGAGCTTGTCGGGGACCGCGTCTGTTGTAGATTATAATAAAATAGTCCCACAATAGCCCAGAATGGAGTGTAGTAAAAGGTTATTTAGGGGGAGACTCACAGAGCAGCAGTCTTCTGAAGGAGTGGGGAATAGGGAACCAAATTCAGCAGCCAAGAGGCTGTGCAAGTGTTTACATCTGTATATATACTACACTTGACCACGCCCTAAGTAAGCTGGTATCTTAAAGGCTACTGGTTGAATGAGTTACCACAGCACCTCCCCTTTGGTCCAAAATAAGAGTTCTAAGCATAATACAAAACTATATACAATAAGAACAAACATCAAGTATAAAAATTAGAATTACAACCAGCATAAACAATATCAGACAAGAAACATAGACTAAATGTTTTAATAGTTATCCTATCCTAAGGAGTCTTGTATTAGAAAGGCTTTCCTAAGTCATGGAAGAAAAGTAACTATGACTATATAGTGGAACATAAGGGCCAGCTTGGGGTTTCTGTCCCTCCCGGTACACCACAGCTAGCAAGCCCCAAAGAAAAATCACACAAGACTACATTAGGTTATAAACTGATTGGCCCAGTAGGTCAGGATTCTTATTACCTCTTATAACTTATATTAACACATTCTTCTTATCTATGTTAGCCAC